GTGTTCTGGGATAGAGATGTAGCTCTCAGGTTGGTAGAATGCTTGCCTAACAAGCATAAAGCCTTGAGTCTGATCCACAGCAACCGCAGGGCATCATGGTACATGCCTATAATCTTAGTACTTAACAAGTAGAGGCAGGAGGAATGTAAGTTCAAGGTTATCCTTGGACACATAGTAAGGTCAGCCTGGGCTACATTAGATCCTTTCTTAAACAACAGCCACCAATTACAGCACCCAACAAGACAACAATAAAGAAAAGTACCATAGCGGGAGGGAGGCAAGCCTGTAAGGCCAGCACTGGAGCAGCTGAGTCGGGAGCATCAGAGTGCTGTGTTTGGAACATCGGCTAAGTCTTTCTACATAGCAATGTCATCAGTGTGACACAAAGCTTTCATTTGTTCAGGTTTATAGTCAAATTTGGATTTTGTCTTGGTTCATCTAATGTCTCTCTTTTTTTTTTTTTTAATTGAGCATTATTATGGTCAGGTATCATGTCAATGTGCCACAAGGCAGAGTCACCTGAGTAGGAAGCCTCACCGGAAGGACTGTCCTGATCGCCTTGACAGATAGGGGAAGACCTGCTCTGCCAGGGGCCTGCACCTTTAAGCCCAGCTGAAAGGGAAGGCGTAAGGAAGCTCATCCTGGCTGGCTTTCCCTCCAGCTGCAGGATTGATTTGCCCTGCGATCAGTCCGCTGCCTATTGCTATGCTGATAATCAGAACTTGGGGAGCAGAGGCAGGAGGAGCCAATGCAGAAGCTTCCAGATTCTTCAGTACCAGACTGGGGCTGCTGAGACACTCAGCCTCAAGGAGTGAGCAACTATTGGACTCTCCGCCTCTTAGGTGTGATTCAGCTGTTGTTACTATTTTAATGTATGGCAACTTAATAAATTACATATATAATCCCATTGGTCTGTTCCTCTAGAGAACCCTAATGATGCAAACATGTACACCATTCAAGTGAAAACTATATAAATAGGTATGCAGAGAGAAATCTGTATGGTGTACTGCTGGGTAGTACAGTACTTGCTTAGCATGCAGAGGCCCTGGGCTCTAACCTTGCCACTGCAATTAAAACCAAACAAAGTGCCCCCACAAATTTGGTTTGGAGGAACAGACTCCCTTTTCTTTTAAAGCTTCGTTTTTTGGATTTTTTAAAAATTTTATTGTTAAAAAAATTTTTGAGGCCGGGCTGTGTTGGTGCACATCTTTAATCTCAGTGCTCTGGAGGCAGAGGCAGGTAGATAGATCTCTGTGAGTTCGAGGCCAGCCTGGTCTACAGAGCGAGATCCAGGACAGCCAGGGCTACAGAGAAACCTTGCCTCAAAAAACCAAACCAAACCAAACAAATATTGAGATAGGATCTTACTAAGTAACTAACCTTGGCCAGCCTCAAACTCACTACATAGACCTGGCTGGCCTCAAATTCAGAGATCTGCCTGCTTGTCTCCTGGAATTAAAGTGCTGGGATTAAACAAACCCAGCTTCTTTTCTTCAAGAGATGGTGGACTGTAGCTTAGTTGACTGTAATGATTAAATAAGTTATTCGATTATTAGTAAAAACTCAGGAGGCAGATACGGGGTAAAAATCTGAGTGATCAGAGAAGTGGCAGAGAAGCAAGCAGTGACCTCCCCCCTCCCGAGTCAAAAGGCCCAAGAATCTCTCTAACCCCTCCCTACTACTTCCTGTGTCTCTCTATGTCTGGGTCCTCCAAAACCTGTGTGGCTAATTCTGGTCAGCAAGTAGCTAGCTCTGCCCTCTGACTCAAGGTAGACTTTACTGGCAGTCTCAGGAGTGTCAGAGTGTGATCAAAATATCCCACAGCAGTTGACAGACCGCCTACCTACCAAGCACAAAGCCCCAGGTTTGATCCTGAGCACATTTTTAGCCTGGCATGGTGACACACTCCATTAATCCCGGCACTCAGTAGAAGCAGGCAGATCTCTGTGAGTTCAGGGTCCAGCCTGGTCTACAGAGTGAGCTCAGGACAACCAGGGCTACATAGACCCTGTCTCAACACACAAACAACAACAGAAAAGGTGGATGAGATCTCCTCTCTATTTGCTTAGGCTTCTGAATTGCTGGGCTAACGCAACCCTTCTGCTTCATCCTCCTGAGTAGCTGGTCTAGCCTTGGCTGTTGGTATCCATCTTGACTAGGTTCTGCGGCCTGCTGCCCACTGTGCAGAACACCATCTACTTCTGCTCATGCCCAGTTCCTCTATAATCAGTGGTGATGGGTGCTCTCAAACGGAAATGCTGGTCCATATGAATCCTCTGCTTTTGTGGGAAGCTCCTCGGTGCCCTAATCCTGCTCAGCTGGAGCACTCTTTCAAAGGGAAAAATATTAAAGGTTATTTTATATGTATAACTGTTTTGCCTGCATGTACATACGTATGTGCACCACATAAGTGCCTGTGTCCACAGAGATCAGAAGAGGACATCCAAACCACCAGAAATGGAGTGCTGGGAACAGAAGCCATGTCCTCCGCAGAGCAACAGGAGTTTTTAACCACCGAGCCAGCTCTTCAGCATCCACTCCCCACCCTTTCTCACAATTTTTTTCTGCCCAAGACAGGATTTCTGTGTAGCTCTGGTTGTCCTGGAACTCACTCTGTAGACCAGGCTGGCCTTAAACTCACAAAGATCCTCCTGCCTCTGCCTCCTGAGTGGTGGGATTAAAGGTGTGCGCCACCATGGCTGGCCCCACTTCCTTTTTAAGACAGGGTCTCACTATATAACCCTGGCTGGCCAGGGACTTGCTATGTAGATCCGCCTGTCTCTGCCTCCAGAATGCTGGATGAAAGGAGTGTGCCACCGCTTTTACCAGCCCCACTTTCTTGAGGATAAAGCTTCACTAGGTAACTTTGTCTGCCAGGAACTTGAAGAGACTAAGCAACCACTTCCGCCTCGTAAATGTTGGGATTAAGGTCAAGTGCCACCCCTACCTGGCTAAAATTGTTTTTTATTATGTCCATTTATTAGGTGTGTGTGTGGGGGGGTGCATATATGGAGGTCGGAGGACAACTTGTGAGAGGAGATCCTCTCCTTCCACCACGCGGGTCCCAGAAATGGAACTGAGGTCGTCAGGTTTGGGAGCAGGCACCCTTACCAGCTGAGGCAGCTCTTCATCAGCCCAACCTTCTTTAACTTGTTCCCAACTACCAGCGGCTTCTTGAAGGTTCTCTACCAGCTTCCCCTAAACCTTTTTCCCACACCGAGCTCATGGTCTTGCATCCTCCAAGCCCCTACTCAGGACTCTCCCTCTGCCTCCAGCTGAAATAACCTTGGAATTTTACTGTGGAATTTCCTTGAAGCTCCTAACCAAATCTCACCCAAATCTGAACAGTGGTTCAGTCTCCAGTGGGGAGAGTACTGACTTTGGATGACAAAACCTTTTCTCTGTCGAAAAAACGCTTGTTTAACATTTTTTTTCCATGATCAGAAAAGTTCACCAAAAAACAATGAACAGAAATCTTGTTTGATGCCTTGTTTTCAACACGCATTCCAAATTTCACGTGGTAATCCATCTTTGAAAGAAAAACTTCTGTTACATGGAGTAATTCAACCATAGGACATTTCCTCATTCCCAACCATGGGTTGATTTTCTTGCCTGTCAAGCCACAGCATTTGCAGGCCTTCTTCATCTCGTGTACTTAAGACTCCACCTGGTAACTAGAAGTTGGGATGCTATGGCAGTAACCGGAAGTCTCCCTGACCCATCTTCCTGTTTTGATTGTTTCTGGTCAGGAGGGTAAAACTAGTTGCAAGGGAGCCCAGCAGTTAGTAGCTTTCCAGTCTTTGTCTTTAGGAGAATGGCATTAAATGTCTGTAAGATGGGCTGATAATACTAGTAGATGGTTCTAGAAAAAAATTAAAAGTAGCGCAAAAGTTAAAACTGATCATGCTTCCTTTTTTGATTTTTCGAGACAGGGTTTCTCTGTGAAACAGTCCTGGCTGTCCTGGAACTCACTCTGTAGACCAGGCTGGCCTTGAACTCACAAGAGATCTGCCTGCCTTTGCCTCCTGAGTGCTGGGATTAAAGGTGTGTGCCACCACCACTGCCCAGCTCTGATCAGGTTTTTTTTTTGGTTTTTTTTTTTTTTTTTTGAGGCAAGGTTTCTCTGTGTAGCCCTGGCTGTCCTGGAACTCACTCTGTAGCCCAGGCTGGCCTCGAACTCACAGAGAACCTCCTGCCTCTGTCTCCCAAGCGCTGGGATCAAAGGTGTGCACTAATGCATGGCTGATCAGGCTTTTAAACAGAGCAATTGAACAAAAAGAGGCCTAGAGGAAGGGAAGTGACAATAAATATAGCATTTCAGGGAAAAGCTGTCCTAAAGGACCAAGGACTGGCAATGGTGTGGGACTGCAGTAGATGAAGGTCAAAAGCAAAGCCAAGTCTGGCAATCAGAGGAGAAAGGGAACAGAAGACCTGAGGGCTGGGTATGCTAGTACATGCCCATAACCCCAGCCACTCAGCAGGGTTGAGGCAGGAGGAGGACTGAATTTGAACACTGGAGTGAGAGCACTGTAAAAAGAGACGGGGGTGTGGCCTAATGGGAATACAGTTGCTTAGCATGTGTGAAGTCCTGAGTTTGATCCTCAGGACCTCGAAAAAGGATCAGAGAGATAGAGTTAAGAACCAGCTCTTGGGCCGGGCGGCGGTGGCGCACGCCTTTAATCCCAGCACTCTGGAGGCAGAGCCAGGCGGATCTCTGTGAGTTCGAGGCGAGCCTGGGCTACCAAGTGAGTTCCAGGAAAGGTGCAAAGCTACACAGAGAAACCCTGTCTCAAAAAACCAAAAAAAAGAACCAGCTCTTGGAATGGAACGATAGATCATATTCTCAGCACAGTTCTCCTGAACTCTATAGTCTACTTTGGTTTATGGAAACAAAACCATTTGCAAGTTGCCCACAGGGAATCCACCATCGACATTTAAAGGAAACCAGTGGTGATGGTGACCCTTTCGGAATACGAAGGAGGCAAAGTACTTCAATTTGCTCCTTTCCTCAACAGGTTTATTGCCTTTTAAGAAAATTTTTGTAAAATATAAATACAAAGGCAGAGATTTACTTACAAAGTTAAAACACAGATTTCAAACATAAACACACAAGTCAGAAAATTTTAGTTTTATGTACATTTTCAAGCAACCTCAACATATTATGTTAGTTTTCAATATTTTACAGGGTACAGAAAAAAATAGCTCAAAGTCTTCTTTAAATAAGAGCATAAACTGTTTAAACATATAAACAATCCGGTTTGATGTGTGAAAAGTAATTTCACAGCTTTTAAATTAGGATACAAAAGTTTCATACAATTAGTTGTTGTGTGTGGATATGGTTTGAATTTATATTACATACTACTGGATTGCATCCAATAGCATTTACCTGGCGTGAGCAGGTACTCTGTAAACAAAACATAAAAGCACATCGCCACCAAGTGTCCTCACCCAATTCACTCCCCCAAACCACCCACACGACTCTGACCACACGATACAGCCATGGCCCGTCACCAGAGCTTTGTATGAAAGAAATAACATTAAAGTATGGGGCTCCTTTTTCTTTTTTTTAATATTTTTATTTTTTCTCCTTAGAAAAGAAAAGAAAAATGTTCCAAGTAAAAACAAACATACATTTCTCAAAGCATGTGTGCACTGAAAAATAAAGACATTTGAACAGCTTCATAAAAACTGACTTAAAAGTTTAGAAAGAAAACACGGGCTTCTAGGTTCTTCGGACTGGAGTAACGTCTCTTATATAAAGAGATATTCTCATATGTAATAGTGTCCTTTCTTTACAGAAATCGTCGTAGTATGTATGACACATATGCACAAGGATTAACACTATAACACACTGTACACAGTGGGTGGGCGGGCAGGGCAGGGCGGGGCGGGGCAGGGCAGGTGGGGCAGGGCAGGTGGCTCACCAGTAGCCCTCAGGGACTGTGTCGCTAGGGTGGAGCCACTCCACGCTGGAGCCCAGCAGGGTCTGGAGCTCATTGGTGAATTCCACCAGATCTAACAGCTCCTTGCTTTCCGAGTTGAAGGCTTCCAGGTCTTTGGGGCAGGAGAACAGGAGACTTGCAGAGACCTGTCGGTAGAACTCTGCCTCTGCAATGGTGACGATTTCCATATTGGGAAAATTGCAGCGGAATATCCGGGAGGACATTTTCAACTTCTTGAGTACATCTGATAGCAGCAGCCAGTTTCGTGGCCTATAAAATAGAAAGGGATGGGGTCGAGTCAACCCTCCTGCCCTGTCCACCACATCCTATCACCGGGCTGTGAGGTAAGGAGAATAACGGCATCCTAAGAACGTGGGACAGATCTGGTATTTATAAACAACATCTCGTAGAATTTGAACATGCTTCCCTGTGCCTGCTACAGATGGAAACAAATGGGCAAAGTCTTGCTCATCCACCTCTGGCTGAAACTTGCTTCATGCTTCTCCAGTGGACCCTGTACTCACCGAGGAAAAGCAGGCCTGCACCCCAACCTCTTTGACCTCTCTGAGGACCCTCACCAACAGATTACTAAACATACAAGGCTATCTCGCCTCCCCTTTCCCAGTTCTATCCCCATCTTTCAGTTACCTGGGGAGTGACACCTTTGAGAAAGGATGTTTAATAGTCTTTGAAGCTGACACAATTTAGAATTTCTGTCACTGTTTGTAATGGCATATGTGTTTATCGCTTCAGAGCCGAGGAGGACATTACTCACGAAACACCTTTGTTAACACACAGTTATAGCAGTTTCTTGACATGTACAGCCCAAAGGACTGGTTATTAAGGTGCAGTGGCACACCCATAGGGAAAACATGGGATCTGACCAAATCTGATGACACATTAAGGACTCTAAGTGTCCTAGATAATTGTCCTATTCTTAGGTGAGGAGGTAGTTTATCACTGTATTCCAATTATATCTCAAGTGCCCGGGGGAGCCCCTAGGGTGACTTGTTGGGGGATGGGGCAACAGCTACTAGGGGAAGACTCATTTCTTAACTGTTGACTGCTGTAGTATCCAAGATGGCAGCTTTTCTGTGGAATTTGAGGTCCTGGCTTCAGTGCCCACAGACCCCAAGTATGACTTGAACATACACCTTCTCAGGAGGGCAGTCTACACCATGTCAGGGTTAAGCCCCATCTCCACTGGGCATAAATAATCAAGCTGATTTGGACCATTTATCCAAAGACCGAGGACAGCTAAGAAGCTGCCCGCCACTCCATCTACCCTGACCTGCCTACAGGGACCAACTGCCTTAGCAGCAGCGTGGCCAGTTTGTCCTAGACAGCCATGCTCACCCCTGAGCGACGGACACCTGGATGTTATAACACGGCAGGAGGGAGCTTTCGGAGAACTCAAACTCAAACATATCACTGTAGGAATCCTCCTCCTCATCTTGGTCCTCTGGTCCCGGGGGATTAGCCAGAACATCATACCCACTTTCATCATCTGGGTCTAACGGAGGAGGTAAAGGAGAGAGCTCCATCAGTTGGCGTAGAACAGAAGCTGGCCACCATAGCCCGAGCAAGCAAATCCTTCTTCAGTGCGCATCTCCCACCTCCCTCCCTCCCTCCATCCCTCTGAAGAGCAGAAACATTCGAAGTCACCCCCCCCCCCCGCCCACTACGAACAGTGATGCTCACCACACACGCAGCTGCCATAGAACTCCCAAGCGCCACTGGGGTCCTCATCACTCCGGCCCTGTAGGTCATTTAAATAGTCTGCAGGGAAAGGGGTGACAGGAGATAAAATGTACTGGCAAGTTAAGTGTGCTACCACCCAACTGGTATCTCAAAACTTGTGAGGCTGAGGCAAGAAAGAGGATTCTGAGTCTGAGGCCAGTCTGGACCACACAATGGGATCCAGTCCCTACGCAAAACAAAACCCTATCTGACAGGAACCAAATGCTGATCCGGTTTGGTGCATTTTCCCTATAAACTCATGAGAGGCTGCTTTGTGACTGTGCCTGCAAGTCACCTCTCAATGTTTAGAAGCCCTCTGTGGTACCTGACTGTTCACCTGACTAGCTGAGGGACAGGCCACCCTGGCTTACCAAAATGACAGCAAAGAAACTTTGCAGCCTTGTAAACCAAGGAAGAATTGTATTTCTACATCTTGTCTCCAATCCACCGGGCAACTTCCCCAACTAAGTACAACTCAAGGTGGGCACGGGTGGGTCAGGAGCCAGCTGAAGGAGTTCTTGGCAATAGATGTCTGATAAGAAACTTAGCCCCAAGTGTCTGACACTGCTTCTTTCTGTTTTCAGGATCTTTTAACACTGGGGCTTAAAAGATGGGTTTATCCTAAGACCACCCACCACAACGCGATGCTGCACGCCCAGGAGCTCAGGTAATTTCACACAGGCTTGCTATGTAAACCTATGGGCCATACTTAGGTGAAAAACAGATTTGTAGAAAGTGAAACCAACCAATCAAAAAACCAAAACAAAGTCTGGCTGCAGGGGCAGGCAAATTTCTGTGAGTTCAAGGACAGCCTGGTCTACAGAGTGAGTTCCAGGACAGCCAGGGCTCTGTTAACAGACAAATCCTGCCTCAAAAAACAAACCAAAACCAGAACAAAAACCAAAACCAGAACAAAACAAAACAAAACTTTAAAAATAGTTTCACTACAAATAAGATTATACCATAGAAACCTTTGCTTTCTGCCTAGTCAGACCCAAATCTAAAATATGCAGGTTCCATCTCCTCCCTTCCTACCCACCCCTTTCCTTTGGTGAAGCCCAGGGCTTCATACATGCCAAGTGTTCAACTATTAAAGACACACACAGACACACACACACAGACACACACACACCAGGCCCCATCTAACACGTTTTTTTTTCTTCTCCAGACATACAATCCTCCATCCTTATTTTCTCAGACATGCGCAAGTGAACTGAACTTTTGAACAAGCTCATTCATTGAACTCTTGTCATACCTGTTAAAAACTTCTCCATCAGTTCACTGTGGGTCATTTTCATGATGGTTCTACCTGAGTATGTGGCCAAAGTAGGGTCAGCACCATAGGAAAGAAGCAATCGGACAATTTCTAAGTGGTCATTCTCCACAGCATCATGCAGAGGCCTGGGAAGAGACACACAGTAGCATTGAGCTTGGGCAGCACAGCGTCCTTGTCTCCCAGCTGCCTGGTCTAGAAGCAGGGGAAACGGAACACATGTCCTCCTCCTCCTCCTCCTCCTCCTCCTCCTCCTCCTCCTCCTCCTCCTCCTCCAGTGGGCATCCTGCCTGTGGTGTCATTATCACTGCATATGCAAGAGACCAAGGCACAGTGAGAGGCTGAAGTCAGTCAAACAGCCCAGCGTGATGATGGACACGGAACCCTCGGAAGGGCCAGCTCTCAATTAGACATCGATTTTATCCTTAGGCCCAAGGAAGAGCTGAAATCCATGTTGAAAATGTCTTCAGTGAAATGAGGAGAGATATGGTCTGTCTCTACCTCAGACAGAGCAGTCAAAGTCCCATGACTGCAGATGCCAGCCAGTGCAATAAGCAATCACCAGACAAAAACAAAACAAAAAAACCAGCCACCTCTGCTATCAGCAGAATTTGTTAAGAGAAGCATCCCCCAAGTCCTGCTCCAGCACTGTATGCCCAGAAGCCAAGGGCCCGGCAGTGGCCTATTCTCAGGAGGGCACACACCATCACCCCCTGGTCCCTGAGTTAATGCTATTCAGAAAGCATGCTACTCAGGAGGCAGAGGTAGGCAGATCTCTGCGATTTCAAGGCCAGCCTGGTCTACATATCAAATTCCAGGACAACCAGAACTAAATAGAGAGACCCTGTCTCAAAACAAAACAGAGAAAAAGGAAGGAAGAGTGTCTATAAATTTTATAAATTATAAAGCATAGCACAGGTTACCTTTAACCCCTGTGTCCTGATTCCCAGCAGTGCCCTACTCAAACTGAGGCCAAGGACAAGGTGACTATTAGGGCCTGGATGTGGGTGATGACTGAGGAACCAGTGGAAGGAGGGACAGATGGCCTTTAGTTTGTCGGGGGGGGGGGGGGGTTCAGCTCATAAATACTTTGAATAGTTATCTCACAGATGGCAATGAACAGGTCAGGGTTCTATAAGGCAGCACTCTCGCTCGCCCCCCCCCCTCTTCTTGAGGACCATGGCCTTCTTGGAGAACTACAGAACTGTTCAAGACAGGAAGCTTTTCATCTACTTGTGCCAGAAAAAATGTGTTCACCTCAGTTCCAGGCGGGTATCAGCGCAAGTGTGATTTGCTCTCCACCTCTCTCCCCAGGGGTTCTGCATTCTTTGAGAGCTACTGTCTGCTTGTCAGCAGGGCGAGGGTGCAGGGAACAAGATAGACCACTGACCTGGTTCCATCCTGGGCACTGCAGTTGACATCGGCGCCATATTCAAGGAGGTGACGAACTATGTTGAGCCATCCCCTGGCACAAGCTTCATGCAGTGCACAGTAACCAGCGTTGTCTCGATGATTCACGTCACAGATCTTGTTCTCCAGGCAGTATAAGACCACTTCCTGTGGGGAGGGAACGGAAAATACCATCCGATCACCACACAGTCACCTCATAAGGAAGACTTCTTCATAGTTCTAAGACTACACACGGAGGCCCGAGAACCCACTGTGGTTTGGGTGGTGCCTGGATGTTTATTGAGGGACCACAACAGTGTGAAGGGCTCTGTGTGGCCTAGGGCTGGACAGCCCCAATCAAATGGTGTTTTACCTTCTCCCAAGCCTCCATAGGCTGTTTGTGGGGATGTAAGCAGTGTGCCCCCAAACACTTGTCTTAGTGTTGAGGGAGCATGCAGAGACCTTAAAAGGGCTCACTGGAAGTTGGGTATGGTGGCTCACATCTGTATTTCTCAACACTCAGAAGGCTGAGGCCAGATAGCTGACATGAGTTTGAGATCAGCCTAGGATATAGAGTGGGATCCTCTCTCAACGAAACAAATCCAAGGTACATTCACCTGTACATGGCATTTATGTTCCACAGGTCATTATAGATAGTAAACGGCCAAGTTCAGATAAAAGCAAGGATGAGGGTGGCGGTGGCGCACACGCCTTTAATCCCAGCACTCGGGAGGCAGAGGCAGGTGGATCTCTGTGAGTTCGAGGCCAGCCTGGTCTACAGAGTGAGATCCAGGACAGGCACCAAAACTAAGGATGATCAAAGTGAAGCAAAATGGGAGAGCTTCATAATGTCCTGCAACCCAGAGCGGGTCAGGTGGACGGTGGCCCTGTGTGTAGACAGGAGGCAGAACCTGGGCAGCCAGGCCTCTGGATGAGAGACAGAGCTCACCAAGAAATCACATGAAGCCAAGTGGTATACACCCATAATTCCATCACTCAAGGGGCTAAGGCAGGAGGATGACTTGTTTGAGAATAGCCTTGATGGCAAGCCTGGGATACATAGCAAAATCCCCTCTTAAAAACAAACAAGCCGGGCAGTGGTGGTGCACACCTTTAATCCCAGCACTCGGCAGAGGCAGGTGGATCTCTGTTGAGTTCCAGACCAGCCTGGTCTACAGAGTGAGTTCCAGGACAGCCAGGACTGTTACACAGAGAAACCCTGTCTCGAAATACCACCAGCTAGCCAGCCAATCAACCAACCAAACACCCCAAACAAACAGACAGGTGGAAAAAAAGAGACCTAAAAAGGGCTGGCTGAAGAGCAAGTAGCTCAGCGGTAGAGCCTTTGCTTGGCACGGGCTTCATTCTGGCTTTCATTTGCATCACACACACACACATGCACGCACGCACGCACGCACGCACGCACACCAAGGCCTCAAATAAGTCCACCTTTCCTCACTTTTCACTCTACTAAAGACTAAATCAATGCAATACACTCTTGTTTACTTAAGTCAATGACAGGAATCGGATAGATCACATACTAGAACAAACCAGAACAAGCCTGCCCCTCCCCCTCTGCAGAAGGCATTCAGTGTCAACAGTTTGCATCTGAAACACTGTTATTAATCTCACTTCTTTAGTATGTTAAAATAGTAATATGAACCACTCCCAGTAAGCATAGCCGTAATTTATTCAATGTCTTATTACCATGATTAAGCAAGTTTTCAAACACATTAAGCAGTATCTGTTACCAGGAAACAGGTTACACTATCTTCCTCTAAGTCATGCCAAGTAGATCGTTACTAACTTCTAAGAATGGGGGTAAGCAATGTGGGGTGGCCTAATACCTGGCCTGCCAGTGAAGGGGAAACTTCACATTGGGCCATCCTTTGTGACGCTGGGGGAACTCGTCTGTTAGACATAAAATAAGGCTCCTCTTGGCCACTCATAGACGTGAGGTGGGTTGTGAAAAATCTCTTATGTCCTTTCTAGGACAGTTCAGTCAAAGGTAAAGGCTCACTTGGGTGCTAACTAGAATGTTCCAGATGCCTCCCCGGGAGCCTAAAGCTGCACGCTGGTAAATCTGACCATCTGTGCCCTGTTGCTCCAGGTCGCCAGAGCAGCTTCCTTCTAAAAACAAGAGGAAGAGGAGAGAAGGCATTGCTTCCTTCAGGTCCTAACCTGCCAGAAAGCCTACAATCCTCCGAGCTCCCAGGCCACCTGCCCCGAGCACCGGTATCCAGGATACCGCATGCAGCCACTGCTCTTTTAGCAGGCCCTCACTAGCCAAACTCGAGTGGATGGCTGCAATCTAATGAGCTGTGTGCCCCAGCCAGGAAGAGACCTTGTCACATGACTCTGGGATCGGCCCTGAGCACCACCGACTGCTGTGCAAAGATCAATTTATGTGGATCCCGGCAGTCTGCCTGGTGTCCTCTCAACCCAGGGTTTATTTGTTCTGACAATTATGGCCCTTGCCTAGAAACCTTCATCACTACAGGGCTGATTTGAGGGAACCTAGAAATGAAAGAAGTCAGCGCACAGGGCTGAGTCGATTCTCTCTTGTCCTGGAGGACGGCAGGAAAGACAGCAGTGAGCACACACTAGGTGAGCCTTTGCCAGAGCCTGGCCCCATTCGGTGCACTGTGTCACTGGACCTGAGGTCTGGCCTCATCTGGGATACACCACACTACTCTCCACAGCCTGGGGAACAGCAGGAAGAAAAGTGGGAGTGTTCTCATCTAATACTTGGGGTGACTGCGATCCAGAGGGGGTAAGACTCCCAGGTCGGCTGGGAAGAGTCAAAAGGGCCCCAATGAAAGGCTCTGGCTGGAGGGCTTTGATCCAGCTGTGATCGGCATGCCTCTGACCCTCTGCCGGGCTCAAGCAAGCTAATAACCACGCTCCTTCCTAGCTGGGAGAGTGATAGCCTCTTTGCGGATGCCAACTGCTGTCCCCAACAGAGAGAATGGTGAAGACGTGTTATGTTTTTGCATCAGAAATGGGTGTGTTTGAAGGACAGCCCACCCATTCCCAAACAAAATCAAACTGTTTTTGTTGGACAATTCTGTTAAGAGGCCATAAGCCGAATGCCATTAACCGCAAAATGTAACCATAAAGGCCATAAACCCGACATTGTTAATTAATTAAATGCCTCATTAACTTTTTTAAAAACATGATTTATTTAATTCATAGAAAATTTAACCATCACCACTAAATGCACAAGCATGTGGTTGCATACTGACATTTTAGCTGGAGAAATAGAAGCTTCCTTAGCGGGAGACAAGCGACACGGGTGTGCCTGGCCTGATCAGTGGTCTAGTTAAGACAAAGCTGAAGAGAAGCCGGGCTGTAAACCCCTAGACCCACATTAGCTGGAACAGAACGAGGCCTGGGTGACAGGGAGAGCCTTTTTATTGCACACAAGGCATCTTTAGCCAAACAGGAAGCAATCGTGTCAAAGTTCACTCCTGGGAAACTCTCCCATAGCTGTGGGATCAAGCAGTCCCGTACAGGACTACGGAAACTGTCCTTCATTTAGAAAGCTTGAAATCCCCACATCTGAATGGCCTATCATTGAACATCTTAAATCCTGCCAAAAGAAATCCAGGAAAGCCAGATTCTGAGTGAGTGAAATGCTTTACCATCAACAGTTAAAACACTGGGCATCGAATTTACATATTGAAAATTACATGTGCCTGTATGTTCGGGGAGAAGTTCAATAAATATCCCCTGGGACAAAGGAACAGAGCCTAAAAAGTGCTCCTTAGTCTAGTCTATGCCTCGGACCTCCAGGCTGTGTGAAAACGGTTCCTTAGAAGCCATGAGGGTCTCGAGCCTTGCCATCTCTCTTTGCAAAGGAGTAAGACCTTTGGAAATGATGCTGAGATCAAAGGCTAGGACAGAAGCCTTGTTTCCAGCCTGCTGCCCTTGAGGGGACCCTCATTCCCTCACTGTCGTCTCCCCCGGTGAGCTTGCCCCTGGTGAGCTCGCCGGAAGCTAGCGTCGCACTGGTGAAGCCCCTCGGAAGGAGCTGGCGCAGAGCACACAGCCTCACCCTTGCCCTTCTAGGGGTAGATGCTCTCGGCGTCAGGGAAAATAACCAGCGGCCACTTGGACTTAATCCACAGTAACTGAGCTAATTACCAATCTTCCCATCTAGTCGTTTCGGAGATCATCCAGAGCTCTAAAAACGAGCTGTGTTGGTGCAGACAACGGCACACACATCCAGAAACACCAGTGCACCCAAGACCACCCTTGCCTCAAGTTCCCACCACAGAGCCACAATTCCCAGGGTGGGAGGGAGCTGAGTCACTCCTGAGTTAACTCCTGAGTTAACGCAGGGCTGGGTAATCCCGCAGGAAGTACAATGGTATCCTAACGCAGGTAAGGGCTTCTGGCTAAAGCCTGCTGGCCCTAGCCTGCTGCGGGCCAGTGTGGATGCTGCTCCATCTTCCCTTCACGCCTCCACACTTGCTGAGCTGCCTTCTATTTCCACCATTCAACTCCCAGAGGGCTGATGTCAGCATTAAAAAATCAAAAAAAGCCTCTGCCCTGTGGGCTATGGCATCACAGGTTCAACTGGTAAGTGTGTGTGGGGTGCGCATGGCGACAGAAGGGGCCAGTTAGTTCCAGGAGGTTCTCAACTGCAGGAGAGGTCCCAGTGTGAGCCCTTGCCTAGGGAAGGTGATGGGACTTGAGTGGACTTTGCAGCCACTGTACACGATCACTACCTTTCCAAGTTCATCAATCCCTCTTCGACTTCCCTCACCAGAAAGTGCAGATAACAGCAGTTAGCAGCCCAAAGACGAGGAAAGAGTAAAATCAGTTCCTGTGGCTCACACAGGCTTAAGAGCAGACCGCGAAGGGCTCAGGCAGGGTGACACCGAGGGGACAGGTCCAGCGGACAGCAGTGAGTTCGGGACAGAGGCCTTAGACCACCATTCCCTGTCATACGTCATTCCGGTCACTGCTGCCTGCCTTCCCCACCTCAGTGGGTCCATGCCAACCCTCTCCAGTCACTTCCTACTCCCTAAGACCACCTTTCTAGCAGCAACAGCATAAGCCACCCTAAATGAAGCGGATCACTTCTCCACACCCTTGTTAATCACGAACCAAAAGAAACCAGTACAATCTCCCCAGTCGCCAAGTCCCGGGTTATGGCAGACATTCTGACATAAGTGAGCAAAAAAGCCTGGTCTGCGCATAGCCTACCTGCCCGAACAGGAACGGGAGAGCCGAGGCCTCTTTCTTTACTCCAAGGGACCTAGCCACCAAGAGCCAGCAGCCCGCAGCCAGCAGCCAGCACGTGGGGCTAATAACACAAACATCCTGCCGGGCCTTGGAACACCTCCTGATGCGGAGGGGGCTGGGCTGGGCGCTGCTCTCCAAGTCCCTCCCTGAAGCTACTGCCCCCAGCCTGGAGCAGGAGCTCCTGGATGCTCCAGATCCGGAGCGCCCACGAGCACACTCACCTCATAGCCCAGCCGGGCAGCACGCTGCAGGAGGGTCTCGCCAGCATTCTTGTTGACAATAAGTCTCCGAGCTTCTGGTGGCATGGGACGAGACTGCGTGGTCTCTTGAGGAGAACTTGAGCGTGGCAGCTGGGTGGCCTGGGTGGCCGGCAGCAATTGCTGCAAACGGTCAAAGGGCTTTGGGTCCTGCTTGGCTGGTGACAAATCGTAGTCTGAACTGGGCTCAGGTCGTTTTCTGAATCTCCGCACGGTCATCTGTCAGGAGACAAAGAGGTACACCCAGGTAAGGCTGTGACCCTTCCAACAACCCATCGCTTCTCCCTAGATCTTCCTGGAGTGGCAAAGCCATAAAGACACTTTTCTTTCTTAGGAAGGGAGGAGGGGGCTGTCACAGGAGGGGTGGGGATGGGGTTTCCCGCTTACTAGTTTGAAACTTCATGGCCATCCTCTAGGACAGGAGTGAGTTGTGAAGGGGGAGGGAGGGCGGGCACTGGGGGGAGCGGGGAGCCGGTACCTTGCTGTCATTGCTCTCCACGTAGTACTCTCCCGGGACCGGCAAGCTCCTCCTGGGCTCCTGAGGGATCAAGTGCTTGGTTTTGCAGAGTCTCTTCCCGGATGGCTTCTCGCTGTTGTCGGTGTATTTCTGCAGCGGGGAGGCAGCCTGGCAATCCTCTTCTTCGTCTGTGCACAGCACATCTGTCTTCTGGCTTTCTTTAATTTTCTGCTGTTTGGCAGGCAGCCTCGAGGCTGGCGTGCAGCTTGGCTGAGTCTGCTTTTTGCCACTTGCATTGGTGGATGAAAGGCTCTTCATGGGCGGAGAGCCGGAGAACACAGGCAAGCCTAAATACGGAGGGGGCGGTGACGGGCGGGGGAGGGGGAGAAGAGGCAGGCGTTACACAGTTGTAGCCGATGCAGAAAGCAAAGCCCATTGTTAGCACTGATCACTGGAGCGGCTTCAGTTTTTAAAGATATACCAATTATGTTTTCAAAGCATTAATATTTTAATTATCCCACATTCAAATGGCAAATAGGTTAACCCTCAAAATGCCAAGTGCTAAGTTTCTTCAAAGGGCCAGGACCAGAGGACAGAAACTGCCTCTTCCTACTCCCCCACCCACTGGGCTCGGGTTCTCAGAATCCAGACGACTGAGGCGGCTTGGGCCTGGAGGGACAGTGTTGGTAAGGTTGTGCGGCCACCCAGCCTTCCCTTCCTGACCAGCCAGAGCCTGGGAAATCAGGAAGGAAGCGGAGAGAGTCCAGGAAGTGGGCGTCCAAGGGCATCACAAAAATGCACCCGCTGCCACCAAACCTAGTCGGAGTCAAGTCCGACGGCTCGAGTCCCCCTTGCTCCTCAAAGCCCCTTCCCCGGGGAATGCATGACCCATCCATCCTCTGGGAGCAGAGTGGGTAGTTGAGAGGTGGCCTCTGCATACCTTGTTCATTGTCACTGGGTTTGAGGGACTCTTCAGACCAGCCTCTGTTGCCTTTGGCCTCTGCCTTTTTCCTGCCAGGCTTCTCTTCAGTGACGTTATTCCCCTGGGAGGTGACCTCAGGCTGAGCAGCCTGGGTCACTTCCTTCCGGCTTTGGCGGCCAGGTTTGCTCTCTGCTGCCGACACCTGCTGCTCCCACCGTTCTCTAAGGTGCAGCAAGTGGCGTTGCTTTTTAGGATGGAGCCCTGTTAATTCAATGCACACCTTCAGGTTGGTCAGCTCACTATAATGTGGGTCTTCTAAGTGGTTAGAGGAACTGTTTGTCATTCCCCTCTCAGGCCAGTCATCTAATGGAGAAATAACTACAAATTAATCAAAAGGCCCCCTGGGGAGGGAACAAACTGTCTTACATAGCACCAATGGGGTGGGGGAGGGGAGGGGGCGGCCGCTGTCTCTGCTTCGGGAGGTCTCTCATTTTCCTTCGGCCGCCTCTGGAGCTGGAGGGAGGGGAGGTGGGTGCCGCCTCCCCAAGGGTTTCAGGAATGGCAAGGCTGCACCAAACCCCCGCCTGCTGTCTATGGAGGGAGGGGGGACGGGTGCGGCGATAACCCCACTGTGTCCCCACACAAGCACACCTCAAGTGTGCCCTCTGCGGCTGCATGCACAGGCCTCCCAAGCAGGCAGCGGAAGCTGGCCAAGCTCACCTTTGGAGACCCGTCTCCGCTTGGCTTTCAGAGGGTCCTCTGGCAGCCCTTCCACAGTGGCCTCAACGTGGGTGCTGTCACCTGACGCTTTGCGTTTCTTGTCTAGCCGGAGGGTGGGGCTGTGTGGCATGTCCACCACCCCCTGGTCAGCGGGTGGCTCGCCCGTGCTCACAGGCGGCCTCTCCAAGAAATACTTTTCCACAGGAAGATCTTTGTCCTCTGGGGCTTCAAAGAGATCATGTTTGTTTCCAGTGCTATACTCGCCTGTGGGAGGAGAGACAAGACACAGCTATGAAGGCCCAGGTCCTCACAAGGAGGCAGGAGACAGGGAGTCAACACCTTAGAGCTCTTGAAGACAGGCTCCTTGCCCATCAGAAGCTCGGAACCAATGGAAAGAGAACTTGGAGAGGAAAGGCACACCAGAACAAGTCAGCAAGTGCAGTGGAAAGCAAGGCAGGCGCTTCATCTTTCTAACTTTTTCATCGCTGGGGCCTGAGGGAACCCAGACAGGGGCTGAGGTACCCACACTCTCAACCCAGTCTGGCTAAGCTTAAAATATATATATATAATCTCTTCAGGGAAGCATTTGTTCAAGTCATTATTATGAAATACAGAGGGGCAGAAGGTTGTAGTAAAAGACTAAATATCCCCCAAATGTCAGGTACCCAAGGGGCAACATCTATGTTGACTTGAATGGTGAAAATGAGGAAGGCAGATGGGAGTGTGGAAAGAACCCAGGACCCTGATGGGCAAGAGGGGGCAGAGGACCCTCCAGATCCAGGGCTGCTGGGAGGAGGGGCCCGGCATAGGCACCGGCAAGGCTTCCTAAGCACATCACAACTTCAGAGACAACTTCAAAGGGCTCAATCTGATGGCTGCCCACAGAAATCCCTATCACTAAATCAAGGAGCTGCTCTCATTTAATGTCCAAAATAGGGGATCCCCACGGGGACTCGGGTCACCTAACCTGCACTTTCTCTCAGGCAGACATCTATAGACAAGACCTCACCCCCTTCCCAGTTCTGTGTCTTTTGTAGCCGGGCACGCATGAGGGAAAGCGCTGGCTCCGGCCCCCTAGGGCTGCTTCTGTTCTCTCCCAGACCAGACAGGAGGAGCGGTGGGCACCCACCTTTTCCCTGAACCACCACAGCCCAGAACCACTTCCTAGTGTGGTTCTGGCTGAGAAGTGACCCACAGCTGGCTCTGGCATGGCAGTTTCCCTAATCCACAACAAAACAGAAACACTATGGGCGTCAGTGAGGAGGTTGAGCCGGTCAAGGGACCTGTTGGCAAGCTGAGGAACTGAGTTCCATCCCTGGGACCTACACGGTGGAAGGAGGATTGTCCGCTGACCCTCACATGTGCATCGTGACATGTGCGTGCGTGCGTGCGTGCGAGTGTGCGTGCGTGCGAGTGTGCGTGCGTGCGTGCGTGCGAGTGTGCGTGCGTGTGTGTGTGTG